TTGCTAATTTAAAAGAAAAAAAAACACCTTACAATTTTAAAAGAGACAATTCGCACAAAAATACAAACATTAATTCCGCACAGACAAAAACGAGGGCTAATCAATTTTGTAGGCACAGTAGGACAATGGACAATACTGACAGATTAGAAATTGAAGATCACCTAAACATTACAACACAAAGTAATCATATGGCGACAACTAATTTAAACAAACAAGTAAAAATAAATCAAAATTTCAATGAATCTTTTGTAAAACATAAGGAAGCTACAGAAAAAGACAGGGATATAATTTCAAAAAAATTCAATATGGTCAGAGAACATGACAAACAATTTACACTGACTATGCTCTAAAATTGAAAATTTTACAAGACAATGTAGAACACTTACAAGATAACATTTCATCAGCAAGATCAGGTACAATATATAGTAGTTTGCTTACAAATGAAGAAATTATTGAATATGTCATTGACTTTGATAAACTCCAAAATATAAAGGTAGGAACTTTAATTAATGACCAAAATAATTTAATTTTTGCTATAAATATTCCAAAAGAATCTAATTCATTCATTAAAATTTTCATTGCCAATACCAATAACTGACAATACATATAGAGAACTAAAATTTACTCCGGAAAATATTATAAAATTAATAATAAAACTTTTACTTATACAAAAAATACTGATTCGAAAAATTTAAAGCTGTCAATCCATTGCCTAGTTAAAAGAAATTGCAATAAATTATTTAACAATGTATCTGAAATATTAGAAATTCAAGAAGGTTTAGTAATTGCCAAAAACCAAAATAATGTAAATCTTTCAAGTAATTGTGATGAAAGATCATTCCTCATGAAAGGCATTTCATGAGGAATGATTTCCTCAAATGATCATTCCTCATGAAAGGCATTTCATGAGGAATGATTTCCTCAAATGATCATTCCTCATTTGAAATGATCATTTCCTCATATTATAAAAGCGAAGCGGAAAAAAAGTGCTTAAAAAAATTATTTTTAATTTATATAATATAATTATGAAAAATATTAAAAACTATTTTAAATAGTTGTGAAAAAAAAAATATTTTTTTTAAAATAATGGGTAAACATTATTTGAAGTGTTTGGGATGTAATTTTGTGAGTAAGGAGAAAAATATTTTAAAACACAGTCTTTTTAATTTGTAATTGAAATGCATGCCTTAAATTTTCGTGGATAATTTGAAGAATTTAGAAAATACTTTTATTAAACTTTTTAATGATATCTGTACAGAAAAAAATTTAGAATGTAAAATATATGAACACTTAAAAAATAATTTCAACTACGAATGTTGTTGCAAGTCCGACAAAACATTTACATATTTTCATTAAACTGTATATTAGAATTAGAATTTACCACATAGTAAAAAGTTTTGCTAAAACTATAAAATAATTTGATATAAAACAAAAAAATTTTAGTGTTAAACATTTATAATTAATAATTATTAATAAATAAAATAAATAAATTATCTTTAAATTTTTTATTTTTATTTCAATCTTAATAAATTTAGAACATATTTCCCATGAATCGATAATAATTATATTTCATAAAGTATTAATCAGTATGCATCCACCTTTTTTCTCTTTATAAATTACTTTATTTCTATGTACCTGATACTGTGTATCTACTGTACCAGGTACATGCATGTGGACATTCATACATGAAATTTCAAATTCTTTTGCTTTCATACATTCGAATTTTTTACCTAAATTTTATAAAATGAAAAATAAATTTTGTTATTATCAAAAGAAAAACAACAAAATTTTTACCTAACTTAATTTGATTTTATTTTAGTTCAATGTTTTTGGTACACTCGTTTGTTTACAATATTTTGTTTATTTCTTGCCTACACAACTCATTACCATCCATTTCTTAAAAAAAAATCGAATATTTTAAGAATTAAGATGCAAACGAAAACTGACGGAATAGAACGAGTCGAATTACTTATTAGTAGATATACTTTGATACAGAATTTAAATTTTTGTGTTTTTATTTTTTTTTATTACGATAAGATAACAATAGCGTAAATCGTATGTATGTACGAGTACATTCATAAGAAATATTTTTTTTAAATTTTGCAACACAAAATTGAAATAAAAATAAAAAAATCATAGTTTATATTACAATAAATGTAATGACAATTACTAATTACAAATTTTAAGTTTTTTGTTAATATTATTTGTCTTTTTCAAATTATATGCATATAATATGTAAATTATTATTTTTTTTTATTTGAATAGTCAAATTTTGTTTTTAAATAGCTTCGCTTTTATAATATGGATACACCATTTCTGCCACCTTGTACGGGAATAAGTTACAGAAATAAAACTCCCGCTTCTAAAATCCTTAACATTTTTTTCTATACTTTATATACGAAAAAATAAATAACTTTTTAAAAAGAAAAAAAAAAAAAAAAAAATCAATGAATTCTCCCAAAAATTTTTATACATATGTATAAAAATGAGAATAAGAAGGTATACTGCTTAACTCTTTTAGCTAAGGGAATTTTTTGTATAAACATTTTGGTGAGTGATTGCATTAGTGTGATGTAAAGGGAGACATGTACATAAAATAATACTATGAGAATTGAGAATACATTTTTTTTTCTTTTCTGCGTATAACATTCTTATTTTACAATGTTGTTTTGGTTTATACAGGGTGATTCAATGAAGAGTACAATATTATATATTATTAAGGGCATCAAAAATGGATAAAATTTTTGTTTGGAACTATTTATCAAACCTCAATGGTTTCCGAGATACAGGGATTTTAACGAATTTTCCCGATTTTTTTACTTGCTCAAGCTTTTTTGCTTATAACTTTACTTCCGAAAAAGAGGCTTCAAATGAACAGTTTTTGAAAGTGATAGTAAAGGTCTTGAAACCAACATATTACTTGATTTTGTATTTTATATACCTTTGGAAAAACATTTTTTGTATCTTATGCATTCGAGCTTTGGAAAAACAACAATTTTTTTTAATTTTGAATTTTTAAATTTTTTTCATCCTTACAATTTTCTGTGAAAGTTTCAGAAACCTTAAAGTTTTTTGTTAGAGAATTTTGGTCACCTTCTAAAGCTTTAATTAAAGTCCTCAAAAATCTTTTACGGTATCGGAGATATAGCATAAAAACCATTTCTATGTTAAGATTTTAGGGGCACTAATAAAACTTTAAAAATCAAAAAATTGTCACTAATTTTGATTTTTATTGAATTTAAGTGCTCTAAGTATCAACTATTACAAATTTTTGAACGTAATAGTTACTTTGAAAAGCGGTTGACATTCTAAAGAACCGTTGTTTTGGTAAAAAAATTAAATTTTAAAATTTTCCATGAAATACATAAATTTTAGCGGAAATTTCCCAAGGTTTTTTTTTTTCGAACTTGTTGCTACGAGTATAAATACTGAATGGTTGAAGCGTTTCGAGGATTCCAGAAGCGAAAAAAGCTGGACGCAACTCAATATACGGAGCTTGCTGACCGGGAAGTTAATGCCCCCAGAAAGGGTGAGCGAGATGGCAATACTTACTCCTTACTCGACAATCTTCTCGCCAATTTAGTTCGGAGCACCTATGAATAAGTTTATTTGTAGAAAAAGGATACAAAAAATCCAACGATAGCGATTTTTCTATAAAATTTATTGTATTTCAATAAAAATCTTAACATTTCATATTTTACCAAAATAACGGTTTTTAAAATTGTCCACTGCTTTTTTCGGCAGTGGGTTAAAATTCCTGATCTCGGAAGCCATTGAGTTTTGACAACTACTTCCAAACAAAAATTTTAACCATTTTTGATGCCCTAAACAATGAAATATATTGTACACTTTACTGAATCAACCTGTATATTAATGTATATTATTTTACAATTTTTCATTCTTCAAACAAATAAAATCGTCAAACTTTGCATGTTGCGTAAACGCTACCTTACACTTGCGAAAAACCATTTAAATACATATACTTACATGCATAATGTATAATACATAAGGTATGCAGATTTATATAAACTAGTAATAGAAAATTCACTTTTCGTTCGGAGCACCTATGAATAAGTTTATTTGTAGAAAAAGGCTCCAAAAAATCCAACGATAGCGATTTTTCTATAAAATTTATTGTATTTCAATAAAAATCTTAACATTTCATATTTTACCAAAATAACGGTTTTTAAAATTGTCCACTGCTTTTTTCGGCAGTGGGTTAAAATTCCTGATCTCGGAAGCCATTGAGTTTTGACAACTACTTCCAAACAAAAATTTTAACCATTTTTGATGCCCTAAACAATGAAATATATTGTACACTTTACTGAATCAACCTGTATATTAATGTATATTATTTTACAATTTTTCATTCTTCAAACAAATAAAATCGTCAAACTTTGCATGTTGCGTAAACGCTACCTTACACTTGCGAAAAACCATTTAAATACATATACTTACATGCATAATGTATAATACATAAGGTATGCAGATTTATATAAACTAGTAATAGAAAATTCACTTTTTTAAACGAATTTGTAGTATATTTGTTAAAGCATGTATTATTTATGATTGAACAGTATGTATGTTATAATTAAAAATATGAAGATTTAATATGTTTTATATTTTTTAAATATATTTATACTTATTTATGATAACTTTACTTATTCGATTTTAACTTTTTGAATTTGATTAAAAATATTAAATGTATACAATATTTATGACCTTAGAATTAATAAAAATAAAAAATTTTTTGCAATATATATACAAATACACGTTATATGTACGTATATATATATATATATATATATATATATATATATATATATATATATATATATAAATATATATATATATATATACATATATTTATATATATACATACTTTTTTTGCAACAATAAACTTTATTCAATAAAAAAACGAGAAAAGAGTTTTTTTAACTTTCAACTTGATGTTAAAATTCTTAATTATACATATTTGAAATTAATTTGTGAATTTATGTAATTTTTTTTAAATCAAGCAAATTGAGCTTTTAGCTGAGTTTATTTTTATATGTATATGCATATGTTTATTTTTTTATATGTATATAACGATTAAAATTTGAATAATATAGTACATTTTATTTTAAAAAGTTTGAAAAATCTTTCTTTTCTTGCTTCCAAGATAATGTATTAGATAAATATGATAAACAAACAAAGTTTTAAATGTGAATGAATTTATCTGCATTACAATTATAATCATTTAAGTATTTATTTAATAAAAAACTGGGACTGATAAAATTTGAAAACTTTTTTTTAATTACATTATGCAAATCTATCGGCATGTCTAATATAATTACATTCATTGTATAATATAACGATAAAGTTAGACAAGCATATTATATGAATTAATGTTGTAAAACTTATATTACATACAAATTATGTGCAATGTGATAATTTAAGGGTTATGAAGATGGAAATACCATATGGATATAATGGAAATATATAGAAACTTGCATACGAGTTTCATAATATTTTATAATTTTTGCCTTTAAATACTTTTTATTAATTTAATTTATATATTATTCATTTTATTGATTTTATACTAAATCCATTAATTTTATAATTTAATGATCTCAAGTTAATCATGTTTTTTCTAGTAGTATTTCAGCGATATTCGTCGATATTAATTCAGCTTCTTATTAGATAATAGGTAAGCATGTCTAAAACAAGCTATAAAAGATTATTTTGAAATTAATTTTTGGTTGTGTTTTAATGCATTTATTTTATATTTCTTTTTTTAATTATTCGTAAATTAAAACCACGCTTTCGTCCAATCTTCCCTTATTTTAATTAACAATCATTTGGAAATAATTATGCATATGCGTGGTAAAGTAAGAGAACTTTTATCAGATAAGTAAAATAATAGAAAATTAAGGTTATAATAATAAATCAAATTATGGAACAAGTCACAACGGTCATGCCTATAATATTAAACTATTCATATTGCTCATAACTTAAATGTATGGATAAATGCACATAAATTTGATTTAAATACATACAGATGATGTTTACTTCAATACACATAATATCATAGTTATCTACATAATGTATTGAAAGTGTAATTAAGTGCATAATGCTAACTTTAAAATTTATAATGCTTCTTTATATTAATCTAAAATTCTTTAATCATTGTAAGATAAATGCATCTTACGAGGTTTGTTCAAATATTTGCAAGACAATGCATTCACGAATTTGTGTGATTACGATTTTCATTATTAGAAAGATTTATTTGCTTCTCCTCCGTTGAAGTTGGTGTAGTATCCTTCCGCGGAGGCATTCTTTCGTTTATGGCATCTAAACCTTTTGCTTCTGCAAAAGAAGTAATTTTGTGATTTGGTGAAAAACCTTGAAGAGCATTTTTCAGTGATTGCTTTCCACCTGATAAAGCACCTAATGGTAATGCCCCAGTTGGGGTTAGGCCTTTTAATTGTAAAACTGATTCTGATTCTTCTCTTAGAACAGAAAACACACGCGCCATTTTTCCAATGGCACGAATCTTGTTTCGAATCACCTCCTTACGAAGATTAGCCTCTTCGATCTGCTCCTGTTCCACTTCGGACATTAATTCGTCATCGGAGCAAATGTTAAGTACGTTTACAAGCATTTCCGTAACTTTTTCCCCAACAAATGGTAAGGACCATGTAAAAACATCCATAAAGTTCGGAAGCCAATATGGGTGTGGAGAACAATTAAATTGTCTAATATTCATAACATTATTTTCATATTTTAAAACTGCTGCTTTATTGTTGTAAACATCCAAATAATTTGGGGCAGAAAAGATAGTTATAAGAGAGGGAAAACCGGTTGTTTGACTTTTTCTATACATTCGGTAACCAGCATCTTGGGCTTCATGGGCTCTTATAATAGATAACAAATTATTATTTTGTAAAAAGTCGCAACATGCGGCATAGCTATAAAAATAAGAGCATCCCCTAACCGAATTGTGTGAATAAAATTCCGAATTCTTTTCATTACCAAAATCTTCCAAAGGATCTGACCATAACAAATCACACATTGGTCCAAATGCTGGTGGTTCCTTAAATCTATCAAGCCTTTTTATATCTTCCAAGTCATGAATTTCGGGTGACAGACCGCCGTGAACACAAAGAAATTGTTGATTCATTAAAGCTGACAAAGGTAAGCAATCGAATGCCTCCATACATGAATCGTAGACACGCTCGGAATACTTTATTTTACATTCCTGTTTAAATGTGAAATATTCTGTTAAATGACGACATTCGTGATTACCTCTTAATAAAAATAATGTATTCGGGTAGCACAGTTTTAACGACCACAGATATAGAACACATTCAATGCTAAAATAACCTTAAAATTTAAATTCTTATTAAACGTTATTTCACAAATTTTATATATTACTATACCTCTATCCACATAATCACCTAAAAACAAGTATTTTGTGGAAGACGGGGGACCACCAACCTCAAAAAGTTTCATCAAATCATAAAACTGCCCGTGAATATCACCACAAACAGTAACAGGAGCTTCAATATCTATCATAGTTTTTTCAGACTTTAAAAGTGCGGCACCCTCATGTATAATTCTTAGAGCAGGAGTTTCTTCGATTCTACCTTCCAATATAAAATGTTGTTTAAGCAATTCATGATTGGGCTTCCCGGTTATTGGATCAAACACTTCAGGAGTTGTCAATTTGTGACTTGGCGGAAAAGGGACATTGTCAACAACTCGTTGTGTCGTGGATTGCTGCAATGAAACCTGCAATGGTGATGTATTGCTTTGATTTTGTAATTGAACGTCCGTTTTGTTTTGAGTACTGACATTAATTGGATTTGACATTTCTTTAGTACGTAATTTATTGTGTTCTGCAAAATGCTTATTCAAAATTTAAAACACTACTTGAAGACAAAACTCGATTATTTTTCAGACTTAATTAATTTAAATTTTTATACACACATTTTGCGACCGATTTTAAAAGGAATTTTTTAAATTGTCAAATGGTAAATTTTGCATTTATATTCTGTCAAGATTCATGTGCGCAACACATGTACGTACATACAAGCCAATTTTTTTATATAAGTATTTTTAATTAACTTTTTTCTTATTTTTATATTCTTCTAATTTAATCAACAAAATTTAACTAGCACTTTTGAATGAAAAATTTCTAAAATGCCACAACATTTATCATAAAAGTTCTGATATTCTCTAAAATTATATCTCTAATATCACGATCTCATAATAAACAACCATATATGGAATTCCGACGCTCATCAGCTATCAAAATTGCTTTCTTCCTCAGTGTTTGAAATTATCATTTCTACTCACAATTTAATATTAATCGCATTATAAACTCAAAAGTTGCTAAGCTAACATAACCAATTAATCTTTTAAAATTAGGATCCGGGCTCAATTTTGGAAAAATATTTTTATAATTTTATTAAAATCCTACACCTTAACAAGAAAAATTTGAGTTTTTGACATATTCGAATAATTTGGTATTTACACATTTTCTACACCTAATGAAGTCTAGGGTTTTCTCTCGGAACATGATATCTACACTTTTGACAAAAAAAAGTTATGAATTAATGCCGTATATATCTATCAGGCCTCCAAGCTGAAATGCTGAAATTATTTTCCGAAATTTTGATTCTGCAAAAAATACAAAAGCAATTCTTAATGTTTTATGTTTTCGAAATATGCCGATTGAATTATTTTTTTATTTGTTTTGTGTAATTTTTGAGAATTCTTTATAATTCTTATTTTATTGAAAACCCTAGACGTAACATAAAATGACATAAATTGTAACAAATCTCTACAATGCATGTCCCACACACCATTTACGTGGGTTGCCTGTGTAAAACCTTTATTGCATCAGATTGAATCTTAGAAACTTTTATATACAACAACATCACAAATTTGATAAGAGCCTGAAGAAAGTCTTATAATCAAACATTGTTTGATATCTGAATTAGTTTGACGGCATAAAGTCTGATGTTAGTCAATATTTACATATATGACTTTCGTCTGATTCAGCCTTGGATTTTGTTGTGTTTGAAACAGTGTTTGAAATTTTATTATTGATCGCTCACATTTTGTTGCGTATGATACAATACACAAATAAAATAATGAAGCGAATATACAGCCGCAGCGAAAAACAGCATGTTTGTTTTTTATTCTATTTTTTAAGAGCTTTTTACCATTTAAATAGTATTTCGTGTTAAAAATATATAATTTTTTTCCTTTAATATTGTTGTTACAGTAGGGGAAGTAAAATTGAAAAGAAAAAAATCTCATGAAAAGAGAAAAAGAATTTGCTTATTTTTCATTTCGTCTATTGAAAAATTTCTTATATTTTTTTATTTTGAAATAGTCTAATTACCAAAGTTTATTCTTTTTATACCCTGCATTTCGTGAAGGGTATATTAACTTTGGTATGGAGTTTGTAACTACTTGAAGGACTCATCTGCGGTATGGACATTTATATATATTCTTGCTCAGTGTAAAATTCTGCATCGATTTAGACATGTCCGTCCGATCGCACGATAACTCAAAAACGAATAATGCAATCGACACCAAACTTTCACAAGTTTTTTCTTTTGTGCCAAGGACGAGCCCTATTGTTATTGGATTAATTCGGACAACGGGTTCGGATAGCTGCCATACAACTCAAAGAGTTTATTTTAAATATTTCAAAAACTAATAAAGCTATAAATATAAAATTTTGTATACATGTGTCCAATTATATTCTACACATGCTCTAAAAATTATAATGGGATAGCTACACCGGTTCGGGTGGCTGCCATACAACTCCAACAGCAAATTTTTTATATTCGGAAAAATAATAAAGTCAGATTCATGAAACTTGGCGGTCATGTGTCCAATTATAGATCAAATATATTTCTGAAGTCTTAGAGGAATTGCTTGGCATGTTCGGGTACTTGCCATACAACTCCAGAAGCTAATTTTAAATATTGGGAAAATAATAAAGTCAGATTCATGAAACTTGGCAGTTGTGTGTCGAGTTATAGGTCACATATATTTCTGAAGTTTTGGTGGAATTGCTTGACGGGTTCAGGTACGTGCCATACAACTCCATAAGCTAATTTTAAATATTTGGAAAAATTATAAAGTCAAATTCATGAAACTTGGTAGTCGGATGTCCAATTATAGGTCAGACATATCCGTGAAGTTTCTATAGACTGATTTCACAGGTTCGAGTAATTGCTATACAATAACGAAAGGTGCAGGGTATAATTCAATCGGTTTATACCGAGTGAAACGTTTTTACTTGTTTTTGTTTTCAATAGTATTTATTATTTTGAGACGAAATTATAAGAGAGATTTTAATGTTTCATTCAATTGGCGTGATACCATTGCAAAAATTTTTAATAAAATCCAAAAGAAAGAGAATTAGAAAGTCAATCAATAAAGTATAATCCGTTTTTTTATGAGACGTTTATGAGCCATTTTATGTATATCGTGAGGCGATTTTAATTTTTTATTTAGTTGAAGGTTTTCATTTGTGTGATAGGTTTTAATAGCTTTGTGAGTAAAGCTTTTTTTTTATTCTATTAGGTTCTTTTCAGTGAAGGTTTATATTTGTTTATTAGAAAGGTTTTTTTAATTTTTTGTTTACTTTTTGAGTTAAAATTTTCAATTAAAACAAGGTTTTAATTTTTTATTACTAATACGTATACTATATACATATGTACATGTAATGTCTTTATATCTAACAAGTCCCAATGCTCAGAGAGAAACTTGAAAGCACGACCTTATTTTATATGGTCTTTTTTTAATCGAAGTGGCTATTTTTTGAGAAGAAATATTAAAATAAATTCACACTTATTATAAAGCAGGTAAAATTTAGAACATATATTTGAAAAATCAAAAAAATATATTAATATTTTCATTGATAATTATTTTAAAATTTTAAAAAAAGCGGAAAAACAACAAGCACAACCTTCGCCTTCAACGTTTTATATGTTACTGAAAGCATTTCATTATTTTTAAGTGAACAGCTTTTTTTTCTCATAGGGTAAGTTAACTCAAGATATGGGAAGTACCTGTGGTGTCAAGTTGAAAATATAATTAATGAAAGATAATTTTTAAATATTGATATAAATACGTAGTAAAGAAAAAATTTGAAGAGGGAATTAGAAAATAATATCTAAAATACAATCAAATATTATTTATTGAATACAAATTTTATATAAACTTGAAAAATTTTACCTCTATTTTTATTTGAAAAAATATTAAAAACTTACTATCATTTATATCAATTACCTAAGAAAAAAAAATATTTAAAATGTTTGGAAAAAACAATCATATATTTTTATGACCGGATTTGAATATTTTTCTATTTTTGAAATAAATGGTATTTTATCAAATGACTCAAAAATTCCGAGTGTAAAATAACAGATATTTTAAAATTTTTGTTTAGGTATTTTAAAATTCTTTCCGTTTAGAATTAAGATAGGTCATACATACACATGCAGGGACATTTTATAAATAGATTGCTCTTGTTTACCTGCTAATAAAATATGAAAAAAGAGCACAGCAAAATTTTTGACGCACTCAATATAACATGTTTGAAATAGTTTTATTATAATTTAAAAAAAAATTTATTGGAAGTAGGTACATACATATTTATTTTTAATAACTTAAAAACTAACTGAAATTATTTGAAACAATTTTATAAGTAACGTATAAATAACCGAAATGAGATAATTAAAATTGTTGAAATGTGTCAACCTATATTACTTTTAATAACATTTTTGTTAGCCGACACTACTCAACTGGGAAATACAAAATGTGCATGAAAAATCATACATCCTTCCTCATTAACATTTGAAACCATACTGAAATATGAATCTGAAATTTTTTATCATTTTTTCTTTCCTCCTACCTTTCTTTCTTTTTCGTGCAATAGAATTTAAATGGGAAGCTTTTTAAAAAATGTGTATAATATCCTGAGATTTTTTAAAATATTAATCTCTTTTTTACGTAAAAAAAAAGAAAAAAATAATAAAAAATATGACACGATCAGTGGCATTTAAAGAAAAAACCAACAACGAGGCCAAAAATTCGTAATATTTCGTAAAAAAAATTGAGTATTGGGACTTGTTAGATATAAAGACATTATTTTAATGCTAAAAAATATTTCTTATACATTTTAACTTCTACAGAACTCTTTTTATTTTCTTCTTTTTTATACTAATGAGAGAACGCTTTATCGGTTTAAAATAATTTAAAAGATCATGTAAAGAAAACAAAAAAAATCGCTGCAAAAATTTCGCAGATTATTTCTTTTTTTTTCGTTTATATTTTGTTTGTGTAAGAAGTCTATATGACAAAAAACGTTTACTTGAAATGAGAAGCTATATCATATGATGTGTTTTCTGTTTTTTATTTTGCCGGTGAAATCCATATTTTTACGATAAAGTATTTATTTTTATGAGACGTTTTAAAAAACTATGAATGAGATCTCATTTAACGAAAAATTTCAAACACTGGTTTGAAACAATACTTTACTTAAATCTATGGTAAATTCTGATGATTGTTTATTTCAAGGAATTAGAAATACTAAGGGAAGAAGCATCTTGAAAAAACAATGAAGCCAAATTTTTTCTAGTTGTCTCTTTCTTTGCTCCGAGCATTGTCAAAGCTGTAACGGAAGCGTATTTATTTTATTTTCTTTTCTCGCCTCTACTATAAAATATATGCAATTTGTAAGAAAGATAAGTTTTTTGTAAAGTAAAATTTAAAATTTTTTTGTAAAGTAAAAACTAAAAAATATAATATTTTTTTATTTTAAATATCTGCAAAAAAAAATCAAATTTAAACAAAACTCATTTTTTTTTCTCTTCGAATAAATTTATTTTATCAATTATAAAATTATAAATTCTGATAAATTATATATATTTGAAATGTGGTCTTCTTTATTAATAATTCCAATCACCTTTCTTTTCATTTCATTACCTCTAGGGAAACTGTAATTATATAAAAAAAGACCAAATTGAAATATTGTATGTTGCATGCTATATTTTATCAAACACAAACTCATTTGGCTTAGAAAAAAAATCCGGTCCTGGTAAAATTGTGTCGTTCAAAGTAATTTTAATTTAAAACGAAACAAAAACAGATGTTTTCTTCGCAAAATTAAAAACATAATAAAATTACAAATTATGAATTTATCAAAGCACTGTTGGATAAATATTTCTTTTAATTATTGAAATGAATAATATTCACTTGTATACTTATGTTGTAATAAAACTATTTGTTTTTGCAAATGGGAATAATAATTTAAAACTATACACCTTTTTATTTTTCAACAGATTTTTTCCTTTTTTTCACTTGTTATATTTTTTTTATAAGTTTTTAACAAATAGTATTCTTTTTTAGTATTTATTATTAAATATTTCTAATTCGTTGGTTTATATATTATCACACTGAAATTGCCTTATGAACCAATATGTGGAAATTCGACAATTTGATAAGAAAATTA